GAAATAAAATTTTTCCTTATATCTATACAAATCTATATAATAAAACACACATGAAATTGAATTTTATCTCTTACACATTTCTCACCCCCCCAAAAACTATCATATCACTCATTTTTATCGCATGCTCAACCAGTTAATATTTGATTAATTTGTAATTTAACATAATTTTTATTTCAGATATTATCTATACATGATAGTATAGATCTGTTAAAAAAATTTATTGAATTACATATTTTGAGAAAATTTTGCCAATATCTTTAAGAAAATAATGGGTAAAAATAAATTTTGAATGATTTAATCAAACAAATGAAAGAAAGAAAAAATATTATTTAATATAGTGATATCGATTTTTTAGGACTCGAAATTTTTGTTTTATCGTGCCTTCAGGCACGAGTTATGACTAGTATCTTATATTATATACGTATATTATATATAAACAAGCCAAATTTCATCTTGGACATAAGTTTAAAGTCCAGGTTCTATGCTTCAGCTTAACTAGTTTAACCTGACAAGCTGAGACTGACTTTAGATAAAATTACTGAGTTGAGCTTGAACAAGAAGTGTGAAATGCTTGACGAGTCCAAACCCCATTCACAAACATAAAAGCTAAAACCTGAACATTAATGTTTGGTTGGGTTTGATGCGTTGAACTCCTACTGTAAGCGCTAGAACACATTAGATATTGATCCAAATGAAGATACAATTACTCATTAGATTGCGAATGAATCCGATATTAATTCACTATAAATTGTACTTATCAGATTAAGACTACAATGTATTAAATCCTCAAATCAACTCTAGAAGCATATTATTAATATATCAATTACGAACTAAATGCCAAATAAATTTATTATAAATTTAAGGATAAAATATATTTTTAGTTTTCAAAGTATGTTTTAGTGTCTATGTGGTCCCCAATCTTCTAATTATGTTTATTTGATCATTAAAGTTTCAAATTTGTATCCATGTGATCTAATTTCAAACGTCCGTAAAAAAATCATAAACATCTCTAGTCACATGTTAATCACGTGGGATCAAATAAGCATAAATTATGAATTTTAAGGACTAAAAAGATACAAAATTATGAACCACGTGATTGGTGTGTGACCAAAATCATCAGAATTTTCTGAAAGACATTTGACAGACATTTGAGATTGAACCATGTAAATACAAATTAATAATCTAAAGAACCAAATAAATACTATTAAAAAATTGATAACCAAATAAACACAATTAAAAAATTAAAAGACCAAATAAACATAATTAGAATGTATCTTACTACCACAATATCAACAGTAATGTTAAGGCTCCTCCAACATCACAATAATAAGGAACCACAAAGAAATAACCTTTTGTACACAGAATGATTAACTTCTCATTCCCGCTCGATGTGGGATTAAGTTTGCTATGTCCCTTTACAATTTTATAAGCTTTTACTTTTACTTCTTCTCATGACTTGATCACGTAAAGTTAAAACCACTTTTTCGGGAAGGCAAAGCGTTGGTGTATTCTGTGGCAGAGCCATTGTTTTTTCCAAAATTCAAATTGGTTCTCTGTGGTTAACCAAGAATTGAGGAAATCAAAGGAACTTACGGGTTACACCATTTGCAAACTTCCTCTCAGTTTTCCTCTTAATCTCTTAAGAAATCTTTTTTCCCAGTTTCAACGAACTCAAAGAATTTGCTTTATGCCATGGAATCAATTTTCATACTTGGTTCTTATTTTTTATTTAATTTTTTTCATAAAAGAAAAATTTTCATTCAACTAACAAATTGATCGATTATAATCACGAAAGAGCAAGTCCCTAAGCTCAAGAGATGGATTAACCACCCAGTTCTAACCGAAGGGATGGTAAAGTCTAGACTTTACCACCCAATGAGCTAAGATATTCGTAGCTCGTACTTGAAGTTAAGATTTAAAACCACAGCAGAGGCCTTGATGACTGACCATCACTTTCAATTGAAAATACAATATGAATTGTGCTCATTAGATTGTGAATGAATCTCATATTAATTCACAATAAAATTATGCTCGTGAAAATAAGACTAGAAACATATCGTTAATGCACCAATTAACTAAGAGATGAATAAGTTTATTATAAATTTAATGACAATAATGTATTAAATCTTTAAATTAACTTAAAACATATTGTTAATATGCCAATTATGCCAAATCTATCTAATAAAGTAAAAAGAAATTTGAATCCAAAAGATAAACAGTGGTTTACGGTTAATTCCGAACTTTATTTTTCCGCCCATGAATAAGCTTGTCTCTCACGCCTCTCCCTGTCTTCTGCCTCCCTCTTCCAAAGTTATCACGCCTCTATCTCCTAATCTCTCTCTCACAGGCAGCTAAGCACCCAACTACTGATGGACTCTCCTAAGCCTACTACTGATCCCTTTCTTTATCTCTCTCCTTTCCTTATCTCTTTCTCTCTCTCTCCCTTAACTCTCACCCGCCTCCTTTCCTTAATCTCTCTGTCTTACTCTCAGGCAGGGAAGCACCCGAAAAGCTCAATAACTTTTTGCCTCTCACTCTCCCTTTGCCTCAATCACGCTATTACTCTCTCTCTCTCTCTCTGCGTTTTATGTGTGTGTTTTTCAAATGCTTAGCGTTTTAGCCTGTCCAATGGCTCTTTTTTGACTCAGTTCAATTGTTCAATGGGTTGATAGTATAAATGTGAATTCAATGGTTGTTAATTATCGATTTCTGGGTTTGGATTTATATTTTTTTTCTCTCCCTCTCGCTCACCCATTGTCCACCATTGTAATCCCACCCGAAAGCCCCCCAGCTGTTCGTCCTAACCCTGCACACCAGCTGTTTGACAATATGTATGAACCATGTTTTTTGTTTGAACAGGCTATTTCGAGACTGTTGCGCAAATTTTGTTTCAATCGGGTGCTTAATTTGGGGAATTTGCCTACAGATTTTTTTTGTTGTCACAAATAGGCATACAAACTGAAAATGGAAAAAGTTGAAAATGGAAGAAGTTAGCATCAGATTTTTTTGTTGTCACAAATAGGCATACCATCATGCCCCGCGCAACTTAGCATCAGATTCAGATAGTTGAAAATGGAAAAAGTTGGCTTATGTCTTGCACTGTTTTGGAATAGTGGCTGCTGCTGGTTCTTGATGTGAGAGGAGAGACTTGAAGAGGATGGATGGTGATGGGGATGGGGATGGGCCGTGGTAGTTGGTGTCTGTGTCTTTGTTTGATGTGGTGATGCTGTTGGTGTTGGGAGTGGGTGAAAAGGAGGGTTGGAAGAACCCATTTATTGAAAACAGGTTTGGTTGGGAGACAAGTGGGTGGGTTAGAGATATCAGCTGGTTACTTTCTTGATTGTGATCAATGAGAAAAGAGTTTTGGAGGGAATGCATTGGGTTTTGGGATTGGGATTGGGATTCCAATAGTGTTGTTCAGGTAGCTATTATGTCTTTGGAGCACTGGGTTTTTCTTCTCACCCATTTTGTGCACTATTCTGCATATTACCCATTCCTCCTGCAAATTAAAAGAGACATTTCGCAGACATAATTTACACGAACTAAAACATATATCTATATATATATATATATATATTGAAATGCTATTGAAATTCAAAAAATTGAACTAATTTGTTAATCTAATGACGTGACAATAACATAATCAAATAGTGTTACACTAATAACAACAACTGTTTAAAAAGATTGGACAGCTTCCTGTAACATGAAATTTCTGAATTATTCTGCATTATTTCTTTTCTGGTTTAGAGTCATGTGAATATAGACATCTTTTAATCGGGCATGCGATTGAATGACTCCAAATTTGCACCAGGGATTTATTTATCCATTCATGCTATAGTAATCTGGATTTTTGGACATGTTTGTACAAATTTTTGGTTTCTCTCGGTGCTGCAATTCTGGATCAGTTTCTCTCGGTGCTTCTCATAAATTACATGCATATATATACGTATGTATATGTTTAAACATGACCCAAAACAAAAGAATTTAACTTTGAAAATTTCGACTATCTATAGCTGATGTTAAGCAAACCAACTCGAATGCTTCACCTATTATTTATGGTACCACTCTACTGTAAACTGGGTCATTTCACTTAGCTCAGCATAACCCATTTTCATGGTTGATTCTCTGCACTGGTAAGCTGGGTTTTGGATGTACACGAATCCCAGCACCACAACACCAGCGCAGCAGCCAATCTCCGATGCCACCAATGTTCAAGGTATCTCTCTCTCTCACCATCAATTAGCAACCCCATCCCCTCTGTTAGTATTATATTGTGTGTCAATTATGATTTAAAATTATATAATATTTTATTGTTTGTTCACTTTTTGTGTTCTGCAGTTGTAGATGTACAAGAATGGATAAGTAAATGTCATTGCAGCTGGTGGAGTTGATGTCCGGGCTGGGTTGATTCCAGGTTTAATTTTTTTTTTAAAATTAAAACCTTGACGATGCGAAGATAAATATTATTAATACCAAACCAAAGATTACAAGGTACAAGGGGGGACAATAAGCCTTACCCTTTTAAAGTATTACAATACCCATACAATCATTTGAAAAATTAAAGGATAGAACTGCTTTTGTGCCTACCAATAATTACAAACTGAATTTCCTCCTTAAGTGACGTAACTGGATAGAATCTTGAAATAACAGGTCCCTAGCTTGACAAGGAAAAGTATGAGAGTTTTGGTAGAGATTAAATGCTTGATCTTGAATTCCCTTATTTGCCAAGAAATCAGCAAGTGTATTGGCTTCCCTAAAACGTGATGAATCTGAAAATCCATCCCACATAGCCAGTATTTTATTTCCTTCCATTGAGGCTCCACCTTTTCATTGATCATCTCAACCATAAGTTGAGAGTCCGGTTCTATTTTAGCTCTCATAAATCCTACCACATCTCTCCTTCCAGATTTCCAAATTGATCAACTAGGAGACTCCATGAACAAATCCATGCCATAACGACGGTTTTTTAAAAACTCTGACCAATCTCATAAATCGAACCAATGATGGTTCATTTATTCCTTCCTCTGTTCAACGGTCTTAATTTGTTAATGCTACCCAAGGCTGCAGCTTTCTCTCTGTCTCACCAAGAGTACCCCACACCTTCGCTACCCGTAAATTCTCTCCCTCTAAATAAACTTTGTTGTAAGACTGAATTTTTTGTCATATTGTTACGTAAAGAGAAACCACACTCTATGCTATATAGGGCACTCATAAATGGGTCTAACAAAATTAATTTTCAAGAAATTAACATAACTTACTGTTTGCTCCTAATTTTCAAGAAAGACAAGTTGTTGTATAGCTTGCTTTTGCATTTTGATTTGAAGTTACTCCTAATGAGTTTTGTGTTTGAGGTGGTGGTTTTGAGAGAAATGGGTAGTGATGGTGTTGATCCTGCTTCTGCTTACTTTCTCAGTCGTGTTTTACCAATCACCTTCATATGTGTATGTATAAGATTTTGGAGAACTCCCTAGATGTACTTATTCATACTTATTGTTATTGTGTTGTCAATAAATACTCAATTTCTCTCTATAGTCATGTGTGCACATATTTAAAGAGTTATACATGTTTAATATTCAGATCTATTGTGGAATTTGTCCAATAAATTTTGTTTTAATTTAAGTTTTTTAGTGGAAATTTTGTTCGTTTGATTTATATTTTTTTAGCGATATTTTTGGTTTTACACAGTACTTTTAGGTATGGGTATATTTAATTATTCTTATTTGTTGAAGTTTTGTTTTTAATCCAGCTTATAAGTTGTAAGTGAAATATTTTCGTATGTTTGAATTATTATGTTATAGTAGTTGGTAAATATTGGTATTATGAGCTTGAGTAGCATGATTGATTTAAGTTTTGTCTCTTTAAATAAAATGTTTGAATTATTATGTTATAGTAGTTGGTAAATATTGGTATTATGGGCTTGAGTAGCATGATTGATTTAAGTTTTGTCTCTTTAAATAAAATGTTGATTGTATAAATTGTTGATATTGTTCAAATGTCATATTTTTAGAATGAAATATGTTAAAAAGGATCAGTCAATTTTCTCAATTTTTTTTATAGGTAATTTTTGTATTGTATGGGACATTTTCTGTTATGAACAATTGCATTACAAATATTTTTCAAATAACAGTGCCTTCACGAACAATTACTAATCATACAATAAATTACACCAAAAGCCACAAGAAAACATTGAAAAATTTTTTAGGGGCTCACTCAATTAAGAAGAACCCCTCCAAAAATTGGCGTATGCCACTTTGTATGACGAACACACGGTATTCTTTAGTAAAAGGCGAAAGAATAGTTCGCTTTGTGCTCATCACATGGCTGCGTGTTTTCTAAAGTCCCACTCCGGAATGTAATATATAGCCCAATGCTGATCAACTTCTCATACAAAATCGATGTGGGAATATCTTTGTTATATCCCCTGACTATTTTATAAGCCCCACCACTTCCTTCTGACTAAGACAAAGTTGAGACCACTTTTCAGGATATTGTTCAACTCCTTTTAGAGCAATGTTGTTAAGTCCCTTTAGAGGCACCCTCAGGTGCTGAGTTTAAAACTTTCCCCTCCCTTATACTGTAGCAATGACCTAAAAAAAAAAATAGTTTTTCTGTGAATAATAAATTGAGAATTAGAAGAAACAACAGGATTATATGTTAGGCAATCCTTTTGCAAATTCTCCCGTTCTTTTTGCTTGCCTTTCAAGTTCTCAAAAAACTTTTCCCACTTCCAACAAACGAAAGAAATTGCTTTATGCCGAGGAATCAATTTTCAAACTTGATTCTTCTTGAGATACAAGATTAATTCTTCAACACACATAAAAGATTAAGCAAATAAGAGCAACAAAAAGGTAAATCAAATAAGTGATTGGTCTCCATCAACTTCTATCGCTATTCACAACCACCCAAAATTAGCTAATCGTGATGCTATCACCACCGCCACCCTACTAGTAAGAGCAGCAATAGTTTTCATTGAGGCATCAACCTATAGATTTGAAAGCTTCAGTGAAGTCTTATGCTAGGTGACCGATAGTGAGCTCTTTCTGATTAACTATCATAACTCACACCCTATTGCATAGTAAAAATCAATCCCGACAGGTAGGCATGACAAATTCAATATTATTACAAAATTTAGAGGCTACTTGCTTTGCAGAAAAATTCAAATTCTCTCCGATGTATTGCATCTTGTGCAATAACATCCTCTTAATTGCATAACTTTTTGTAGGATTCTCTTGATGCTATGCTATCCATTACTCGTGCTGTGTTTGGCTTCTTAGTTGTTTAAGTCAGACTCGGATGTAACAAGTCAATTTACCTATCCAAAATCATTGAAAACTCAAACGCAAAAGGTTAAAACTATTTCTATATCTTACCACAAAGAAATAACCTTTTGTATAACTTATAGGGGCTCATCCCATTTGGACAAAACCCCTCCAAAAATAGGCGTAAGCCATTAAATGCTGCAAGCACACCGTATTCTTTAGTAAAAGGCGAAAGAATAGTTCGCTATGTGCTTACCACATGGCTGCGTTGTTGATGACGTTGGCTTCTGAGTGATATATACTAGCTCAAGAATTGTTAACTTCTCATTCCCGCTCGATGTGGGATTAAGTTTGTTATGCCCCTTTACAATTTTATAGGCTTTACTTTTACTTCTTCTCATGACTTGATCACCTAAAGTTCAAATTGCTTCTTTGTGGTTAACCAAGTATTGAGGAAATCAAAGGGACTTACGAGTTACACCATTTACAAACTTCCTCACAGTTTTCCTTTTTCTTTCCTCTTAATCTCTTAATCTTTTTCAACAAACTCAAAGAATTTGCTTTAAGCCATGGAATTGATTTTCATACTTCATTCTTATTCAAAAAAAAAAAAACAATAAGAAACAATTTCCTTCCTCTTCCACCACAATCTATATCTACACAAAATTAGTTAGTTGTGATATTGTCACCATCACCACCGCCGCAACCATCACTACCCTATTAGTAAGAGCCCCCAATGAGGCATCACCCGTGGATTTGCAATTTTGGTAGATTCATACGCTAACTCACCAACATTGAGCTCTTTTTGATTAACTACTACAATTAGCACCATAATGCACAATTCGAAATCGAACTTGATTATTAAATTGGTATGAGATATTGAATATTCTAATGAAATTTAGAGGCCACTAACTTTGCAGAAAAATTTCTGTGATACCATCGCATCATGACTGTATTCAGCTCGTGTATAGCCGAGTTCGAAACGTGTATATATTGTGTTTAATAAGTGTAACTTAAAATGTTCTGCATTTATACTAAACCCAAACCTGAAACTATTTATCGATCTTACTACCACATTACTACTAGGAATTTGGAGACTCCACTCAATCATCAAGAGCCATAAAGAAATTAGCCTTTGGTATACATTGTAAGGGTTCACCCATTTGGATAAAAAACCCTCCAAAAATAAGCGTATGCCACTTCATTTAATGAGCACACGGTATTCTTTAGTAAAAGGCGAAAGAATAGTTCGCTTTGTGCTCAAAGCGTGGCTGCGTGGTTGTTGAGGTTTAATCAGGAGAGTAATGTATTCTTTCGGTGATGATTAACTTCTCATTTGAACTCGATGTGGGAATTGCTTTGTCACTAGCTTGGACAATATTATAAGCTTACTCCTTCTGAACACCTAATCAACCAAAGTTGAGACCTTTTTTTGGCGGTACCCAAGGTTTGTATATCTAATTCATTAATGTGAGGACAGAGCTTAACTGTAACGCAATCTGCAATGCAATCATCTTAAGAAGCTGAGTCATTTCAGCCAGCAACTTCTCCTTCATAGTTTTTCCTTTCTGGCCTTGAGCTGAACGAATGAATTTTCTCTTCGCACACCGGACAAATGTTGAATTTTATACAAAGTCACCTCTGCACACAAGAGAATAAATCCGATGGCGGTGGCCTCAAGGACTATACACACATGTGGATCTGAGTCATTGAGCTATCATTATTTTCTTTATATTTTTTTTAGGGGTAAGAAGGGACGAGGTCGAAAACTACAACCACTTGCAAGCAAGAGTGAGCCACTACAACTGAGCCATAGTCACTCTCTCACCTTGACCGAGCTACCACTAAGCCAACCTCTTTGGGGTTGGTAGTTGGCTGAAAGATATTCAAATAAAAAATTTCCATACTGTTGATGCTGCAAGTTTCGGTAGCTCGAATTCAACGAGTGGTGCTGTTCGACAAGAAAATCTGGAGCCGGAGTGGCACCGTTGTGTGCGTTAGGTTGATACCGAACATGTATCATATCTGGAAAAAGACTATTGTGCTAGATCTGCGTCACATCTACTGAAGATGTAGATCCGTTGCATCCACGTGTGCCTGAAGACTTGGAGCATTTTGTGCTGGGCTCTATGAAGTAGTTTCTAGCAGTGGAGAAAATGGAGGAAGAAGACAAACTTTTGAGGACATTATTATATTTGGAAGAAGACTTTTGTGCCTGCACAGAATTTAGCAAAATGACATTGAATATAAATGCCTTGGTTTTTTACCTATGAGTAGGCCGTGGATTTCAGGTTGCAACTAGGTCTGTCATTGAACCGGATTTATTCTCAAATTCGATTTGAATTTGTTTTAGTGGATATGGATTAGATTTTCAATCTATTAATTTGATGTGATCTAACCCGAATCTGATTAAAATTGTCTAAATGTATTCGGATATAGATTTATAATAATCTGATTTGTTATTAATCTGATCATAATAAAAAAATATATTATGTAGATAAATTTCACACATATATTTTACTTGTCTTGGAAAATAAGTAAAAATAGAGTGAAGACCCATTTTCTCATCTTTATTTTGTTTCCCTCTCTTGTTTGATTTTCTCTCTTGCTTTTTCTTCAATTTTTCATTTTTCTTACTTTGTTTAGTTCATTATCCAAATTCTTATTGTTAATTTTTTTGGCGTAAATGTGTTTTTTGTGATAATCGGATCGGATCGGGGATCCAAAAATTTATGAATCCGGACATGGATTGAATTTTTCAAATCCGTCGGATAATCGGATCAAATTGGATCAATAAAAACTTAATCATATTCGGATTTGGATATAGGCCAATCTGATCCATATTTGATCCGTTGACAAGCTTAGTTGCAAGTAAGCCGAACTCGACATCCATCTAGGTGAGAGAAAAGTCGAGTGTCGGGTGACGGGTTATCCTGAGTCGTCTGGGAAAACCCGAATTCCTAACAGGAATTTGGGATTATCCATATTCAATAGAGAATTTGAAGGGAATGCGAGGTTTTTCACATTTGATGTATTTCTTTAGTTGAGAATAAGAGTGGTAAAATTGAGTAAGGGGGTGTACAACGGATATAAAGATCAGGTTGATAATTTAACTTTGAGTGGTGAGGCTTGCACCATTGTACTCAATTTCTCTTAATAGTAAAGAAAGTGACCTAATCGTGCCTCGCGGACATACGTAGGAATTTTGCTAATCCATGTAACATATTGTTGTTCTTTCTTTATGTGTTTTGATTGATTGATTTATTTATTTCCTTATTATTGTAATGATCAAATTTTCACGAGTATTTCCTAATCAATGGTATAACTGCAGTACTACCACTGGATGCAACCCAACAAGTGGTATTAGAGCCTTGAGGTTCAACACAGGAAGGTTTTGAATTAAGAACAAAGTGCACATGTTCTTAATTATCGGTTCTCAGTACAATGGTGGAAAAAGGAATCTCAATGGGCATATTCGAGGTGGAGCCATGTGATTGGACAGTGGCAATGCACAATTGAAAACATTTTAGTGCAACAAAGGCTGGTCAAAGCACTTTCTAGTATTGGAGAAATCAGAATCCATGAAAAAGAAAGATGGGAGAAACTTGAGATGGAGGTTGTGAGCACCATCCGCTTCTTTCTCGCACTAGAGGTAAATTATAATTTTCTAACTGTAATTTCTGCTTCAAAATTGTGGAAAAAGTTAGAAAATTAATAGTTCATAGTATTTTAGTCCTAAAAATTTATTTATAATAATTGTGAATGGAAAAATGAACAAATGTAAATGATCATCTCAATGTTTTAAATAAAACTCAACGATTTAATGTGGAGGGAAAAACTAGAGTGGAGGATATGATCATCCTCTCTTTGCTTCTCTTCAAAATTTTTGGTGTACTTGTGAATATATTTTTGGTTGGAAGGACACTCTCAGGCTTTAATGTGTTGGCAACCACTCTTTTGGAGATTGAGGTACTCAAGAAGCCAAGAAATAGTTCTCAAGCAAAAGGGTTTGACACTAACACTGGGGGAAGGTCATGCTCAAGATCAAAAGTGGAAGAGTAGTGGAAAAATGCAAGTGTCATTACAACCACAAGGTGGGGCACTTCAAAAGGGACTGAGTTTTTTCAAGGTGAAGATTGTTGACGCTGGAAGTTTCGGTGGCTCAAATTCGATGAGCTGCGCAGTCCCACAAGAAAATTCGGAGTCAGAGTGGTGCCTATGTGGGTTGTTGGTGGCGCCGTTGTGTGCACTAGTTGATACCGAATAAGTATCAGATCTGGACAAAGACTTTTGTGCCATATTTGCGTCACATCTATTGAAGATGTAGATCCGTTGCATCCACGTGTGCCTAAAGATTTAGAGCATTTTGTGCTGGCTCTATGAAGAAGTTTTTGGCAGTGGAGAAAACGGAGGAAGAAGACAAACTTTTGAGAGCATTATCATATTTAGAAGAATACTTTTGTGCCTGCAGAGAATTTAACGAAATGGTATTGAATATAAATGCCTTGGTTTTTCTCCATAATTATGAAACTGCCATTAGAGCTTTGCCTATAAATAGGCAGTGCATTTCAGGCTTCAAGTAAGCCGAACTCGACATCCATCTGGGTGAGAGAAAAGTTGAGTGTCAGGTGACGGGATATCCTAGTAATGTGCAAATTCAACGGGGAATTTGGAGGGAATGTGAGGTTTATTTTTTCACATTTGATGTATTTCTTTGCTTGAGAATAAGAATGATGAAATTGAGTGAGGGGGTGTACAAGAGATGTAGAGCACAGGTAGAAAATTTAATCTTGAGTGGTGAGGTTTGTACTATTGTACTCAATTTCTCTCAAAAGTAAAGAAAGTCATGACCGGATCGCACCTCGTGGATATAGGAAGGAATTTTGTTGAACCACGTAAAATATTGGTATTCTTTCTTTATGTGCTTCCATTGATTGATTGATTGATTGATTTCTTTGGTATTGTACTGACCAATTTTTCACAAGTATTTTCCAATCAGTGGTATAACTGCAATACTACCACATATCAGGTTGCAAAACTAGGCTCCAAAGCTTATGTTTTCAGCTGTTGTTATTGATTCCGTGATCCATGTCCCATGACAAGAATTGTGGATTCAGTTTTATTTTGCGCATTATTTCTTGTGGATTCCTTCTATACTAAATCATTCATAACAGATTGAACTTGGACCTAAATGGTTCTCAACGAATCGAGATTCATCCGCTAATTTTTTTCTCAATAGTAAATAACCTATCATGTATTCAAATGGAATTCACTATTTATAAATAAGTCCCTCACACATACGTGGCATTTTATCGGGTGAAAGTGAGAGAAAGATCAATGTAGGGGATCTTGATCAGATCCTGACTAATACGTAGATGGGAATGGGGAAGAGAACTAGTGCTAGAGGCTAGAGAGGAATTAAAGAGAATTAGAGTTCCCAATCTTGAAATTATCAAGCCTGAAAAATAGTAAAGAATATTATATCAATAGATGCACATTACACTAGAAAAAAAATAAGCAATCATTGAAATGTGTTGAGGTGAGTCTCTAGTCTTCAAATATTACCAATTCGTGTGCTACAAAAATCCACATAAGGTTAGAAATAGAATTGATCCTACCAATTCACACTAGAATTGATTCTACCCATTTTCATAACACCAATCATAATGAAAAAATGTTAAAAATACTCAAAACAGTCCACATGAACCCTATGGACACCTTAGGTTAGAAATATGTCTGAATAGGAGGAACCCTACCTCTTGAGGCGTAAAAAATTCGTAGGAAGTCTCAAGAACAAGATTCAAGCCCAAAGCTTAGATTTCTCCAAAATCCTCTCTTTGGATCTTCGGTGAAAATCTTTGTTTTTGGTACCCACGCGTAGCCCTCGTCGTAGAGATGAACTTTGGCTCTTGGTCCGAGTTGATCCGAGCTACGGAACTCCGAGAATCGGCGAAGGAAGATTTGGTTTCTCCCTTTTCTCTCCCCCTTGCTCTCACACGTTGGAACCAGCTGAAATGCAGAGATCTTTTTGCAAAATATCTGATTTGTACATATTTATACTTTTCAAAGACTTGGCCCTCGTCGCGCCAAGTGTCATCTTTTGTCCGGCTCCGTTTTCGTCCCGAAACGATTAAATTTTGTACCTTAAGCTAAAAATATTTTATATGAACTTTATTTAAAATATTTTTTGAATTTCAAAATTTTTATAAAAATTTTGTTTCTGGGGGTCACCAGACACCCATCACCTCGAAAAACGTGAAAAATCCGACTATCTCAGAATTTGATGAAATTTGTCTAGGTAACTATATTTCATGAGAAGAATCCAACGGTGAGGTCTGTTTCATCATCCGAGGTCTAAAAGAATACATGTTTTTAACCCGCGCTATAATGACAAATTACCATTTTTTAAAAACAAGTTAAAATTTTTCCCGGGTTTTATATTCTTCCCCCCTTAAAAGAATTTCGTCCCCGAAATTCACATACACATGCACATACAATAACATGCATATGCAACAGTCAAATAATGCTAAATGACCATAAGAATGTACCTCCATCCTCGAACAAGAAAAGATAATTGGTATGGACAGTGTCCTCGCGCTCCCATATCGTCTCCTCTACTCCTCGATGCTACCATAGCACCTTCACTAGCCGCACGGTTTTGCCTCGCAAAATCTGTTCCCGACTATCCGTGATGCGCACTGGTCCCTCCTCGAAAGTCCCATCAGCATCAACAACAAGCTCTCCCCAATCCACCACATGAGTCGGATCTGGGACGTACTTCCGACGCATAGAGACATGGAATACTGCATGAACACCCGATAGATTTGGCGGTAATGCCAACTGGTAAACAATTGTACCCACTCTCTCAAGTACCTCGAAGGGCCGATGTATCTCGGCGACAGCTTCCCTCGCTTACCAAACCGGACCACTCCTCTCTTAGGCATAACCTTCAAGAAGACATGATCTCCCACCTCAAACTCTAGAGGTCACCGCCGTCTATCAGCATAGCTCTTTTGCTGGCATTGAGCCGTGAGAAGACGCTTCTGAATCAAGTCCACCTTCTCCGAGGTGTCTCTAACCAATTTCGGACCCGTAGAAGACCTCTCTCCTACCTCCGTCCAACAAACCGGAGAACAACATGACCTCCCATATAGCGCCTCATAGGGTGTCATCTATATGCTCGCCTGGTAACTGTTATTGTATGCGAACTCCACCAAGGGTAAGTGATCTTCCCAGCTACCCTTGAGATCTAGGACGCATGCCTGTAGCATGTCCTCTAAAGTCTGGATAGTCCACTCAGACTGACCGTTCGTCTGGGGATGAAAAACAGTGCTCATCATTAACTGTGTTCCCATGGCTCGCTGTAAATTCTCCTAAAAATGAGCTGTAAACCTGGGATCCCGGTCTGATACAATAGATACGGGTACTCCATGCAGCCGGACAATCTCCCGTATATATAACCTACAGAATTCCTCCAGTGTGAAGGTCTCCGCACAGCCAAAAAGTGTGCCGACTTAGTAAACCGGTCCACTATCACCCACACTGCGTCATGACCCCGCGATGTCCGTGACAAATGGGTCACAAAATCCATCGTGATATGCTCCCACTTCCACTCAGCTACCTCCAAAGGCTGGAGTAATCCCGTTGGTCTTTGGTGTTCAGCCTTAACCTGCTGACACGTGAGACATCGACTGACAAAATCGCCAACCTGCCTTTTCATTCCACTCCAGTAATACTGGCGACGAAGATCATGATACATCTTCGTGCCCTCTGGATGAACTGCAAAACGGGAGCAATGAAACTCCCTAAGGATCTCCTCCCTCAGATTTGCCAATTGAGAAACCACAACCCTTCCTCGATACCAAAGACTACCATCCAAGTGAATAGCCCAGCCCTCATCACTTGTACCTGCCCGTACACGGTCCCGAATGGACAATAGCTCCGTGTCCTGACCCTGGGATTCAATCACCCTGCTCAGTAGAGATGGCGTAGCCACCAAACTCCCCAAAGTACCCTGAGCCTGACCCATATGACATAGCCCAAACTGTCTCACAGTCTCGAGCATCTGCCATTCCCGGGAAGCTACACTAGCCAAAACTCCCCCGTGACCTTCGGCTAAGTGCATCAGCCACCACGTTTGTCTTACCATAAATGCAAACTGAAGTCATAGTCCTATAAATACTCCATCCACCAGCGTTGCCTCATGTTGAGGTCCCGCTGTGTGAAAATATACTTCTGACTCTTGTGGTCCGAAAATACTTCAAACTGTTCACCATACAGGTAGTGACACCAAGCCTTCAATGCGAAGACAATGGCTGCCAACTCCATGTCATGTGTGGGATAATTCTGCTCGTGATTCTTTAGCTGCCGAGAACCATAAGCTACTACCCTCCTGGACTGCATCAAAACACATCCCAGCTCGTCCTTTGAGTCACCACAATAGACCGTGCACCTCTGTCCCCGTTCTGGAACTATCAGAATAGGAGCTGAAGTAAGCATGTTCTTCAACTCCTGGAATGCATTCTCACAAGAATCATTCCACACAAACTTGACATCTTTCCGGGTCAACTTCGTCATAGGCGCAGCCAATCGGGAGAAATCCTCAATAAATAGCCGGTAGTACCTCGCCAATCCCAAGAAACTACGTATCTCGAAGACTGATTTCGGTCTCTCCCAATTCATAACTGCCTCAACCTTCTCTAGGTCCACGGATACACCCGAAGCCGACACCACGTGTCCCAGAATTTTCACCTCAGTAAGCCAGAATTCACACTTGCTGAACTTGGCGTACAACTGATAATCTCTCAATGTCTGGAGAACAATTCTCAAGTGACCCTCATGCTCCTCCTCAGACTTGGAGTAGATCAAGATGTCATCAACAAAAATCACAAAAAATTGATCTAAATAGGGTTGGAATACCCTGTGCATGAGGTCCATGAATGTCGCTGGAGCATTCGTCAATCCAAATGGCATCACTGTGAACTCGAAATGCCCATACCGCGTTCTAAACGCTGTCTTCTGGATATCTTCCTCCCTAACTCTCAACTGATGGTAACCGGTTCGAAGATCTATCTTGGAATAGACCCGTGCCCCCCTCAGCTGATCAAACAAGTCATCAATCCTCAGCAAATGGTACCTATTCTTGATAGTGACCCTATTCAATTGCCGGTAATCAATACACAACCGAAGAGTCTTATCTTTCTTCTTAGCAAACAGAACTAGATCGCCCCAAGGTGAAGTGCTCGATCGAAT